GGAACATACTGCAGGCCATTGTGTGCGGTGAAAATGGAGTACATTTTGAAGTAACAGTCCAATGAAAGGCTGAAATAGAGAGAGAGAGAGAAATGTTGAGCAATATGTTCGTTAGGAGTGCCTCCTAACACGCCCCAATAGACTGTGGTTATGCGTCTACCAAAGACCGTTTCTCTGACGCTGTAGATGCTCTTTCACAACGGCTAAAAGCTCAAACATCGTTGTGGGTTGTTGGTGACATGAACGCTCAGGAAGGTAGACTAAGCGCTGCTGAGGCCCGATCAAATAGTCGTTTTGGATTGAACGCGAGACGCACGAACAGTGGAAATCGCCTGATTTACATGTGTGCCTAGCACGGACTATTTCTTTGAAGTACCGATTTCCGGAACAGCGGAAATCGCTTGATTCGTTGGTGGGCACCACCACTCGTCCACTCGTTGTGGAAACTGATGCTTCCGACATATCCGTTGCGGCCACTCTCAATCAAGACGGGCGCCCGGTAGCTTTCTTTTCACGCACTCTGTCACACAGTGAGCGTCACCATTCAGCAATCGAGAAAGAAGCGTACGCGATTGTTGAGGCACAGGAAATGGAGACACTACCTGATTGGCGATCACTTCACACTAGGTAATCAGAATAAAGCCGCTGACGCGCTATCGCGGACTGATCACGTATCTGCGATGTCACACGTGGGTCTCAAACACCTTCATAACACATTATGTCACCCCGGTATCACGCGGATGCTTTATTTTGTTCGCTCAAAAAATTTGCCGTTTTCGATCGAGGATGTTAAGGCGATTACAAATCAATGTAGTATTTGTTCAGAATTGAAGCCTCGGTTCCTCAATCACCCTTTTGGCAAGCTACACAGCCGTTTGAACGCGTCAGCATAGATTTTAAAGGCCCACTTCCATCGACCTCCAACAACCTTCTAATAATGATCGATGAGTACTCCCGTTTCCCATTCGCCTTCGCGTGTACGGATGTGTCCTCATCCACCGTGATCAAGTGTTTTAATCAGTTGTTCTCTTTGTTCGGAATGCCCTCATACGTCCATTCTGATCGTGATGGAACTTTCATGTCAGGTGAAGTACAAACGTTTCTTCACGACAGGGTCTGGCGTTGAAGACCCAACAACGGGACATTACCGAGTGGGAATGTGTGCTTCTAGATGCTTTGCACTCTGTTCGCTGCTTATTGTGCACCGCTACTAACACAACACCACACGAAAGATTTCTTAACTTCCACCGGAAGTCAACGTACGGCACTTCCCTTTTGACTTGGTTATCGACTCCAGGCCCCGTCCTGTTAAAAAGGATGACACGTTCTTCCAAATACGATCCGTTAGTAGAAGAGGTGTAACTTGTTCATTGCAACCCGCAGTATGCCTGCGTTCGTTTCCCGAACGGAAAGGAAGAAACTGTTTCTCTTAGACATCTGGCACCCAAAGCACAGAAAGTCTCAGATATCTATTTAACTGAATCAATCGAAAGTGTAGCGGCTGCTCCAGACGAGACTTAATCACACTCGCTTGATCCTCCTGGAGGCGAAACGGCACCACCAGAACAACCCAGTGAAGTTCCAGGGAATGTCCTACAGTACATCACAGACCAACAACGTGTTCGATCGTATAATCTTCGAAACCGCGAAGCCTAATTTATATTCTCCTGACAATAATCCCTCCGGCGGGGAAGAATGTGATATACTGACGTTGTGTTTACCTTTTTACTCGCTATTCGTTGAGCTAATTGTGCTTCCTAATGTTTTAGCTGATGTACTGAAATTGATAGAAGATTAAAGCCAATCATTCGACAATCTCGTTCTCTGTTTCTGGCACAATCATTCGAGTGCGCAACAGCGTGTACCAGGCTACCGTAAGGACTGTTTGTTGTATGAGTGCAAGACAGCCTCTGCGAACAGATGCTGTGAGGCGTCTTCAGACTAAAGACCACCGATGCCTCAGAAGCATTACTGGTTTTGGATGACATCAACGGATCAGTAACCAGGTGGTTAGAAGACGGGTATTTGGTTGTGCGACAAGTAATGCAATCGCGGAAAACTTCCAGCGCCATCAACTGCAGTGGCTCGGCCAAGTGCTACACATGCCAAAACACTGTCTGCCGAGACGAGTGTTGTTCTCTGTGCCTCTCAAAATGGCGCAAACTGCTATATATATATATTCCGCTTCAAAGGCACGGGTTGTTGCAGATAAGCATAAATCTATTCGCCTTCCACGCACACATAGACCAAAGGGCACAAACGTGAAGCAACAGTGGACGCACTATTGGGTTGTAGATCCTGTGCTTCAATAGCTGCTACCAGACATCGAACATAGATAGAGTACACTGGGTGTGCACGGTCTTCATTCCAGAGTGAATTCTCAGCTCGGTCAAAAGGGCACGAATTCGCTTCCAGTTGAACGTCAGAATCAAGTGGTTTTAAATATTAAAAAAGTTCATTAAGTGACGGCAACTCAGTCTGCTTCGCCCATGTTATCGCCTTTTTGGTGAGGCCACTTGTTCATACACCCAGTCATTCATTACCTCATACTATGAACTAGGCAGACATTGCGCACTGTTCGCTGACCATGTTGCTGCGGTCAAGTTCTGCAACATCGTCAGGTTCGTACTGGCATCCCCAGTTAATCCTGAATTCGGTTCGATTGAGGTCCAAGGGATTGGGTGTTGTGTGTAGCATCTATGAAATAACACAAAGTTAATATACCAAGGTTTTGAGCTGAACGTTTCGGCCACCACAGATGATCATCATAAGGAGTGGAGAAAGGAAGTTTGAAAAAAAAACAAGAGACGTCGAACTGGTTAATCCTGAATTCGGTTCGATTGAGGTCCAAGGGATTGGGTGTTGTGTGTAGCATCTATGAAATAACACAAAGTTAATATACCAAGGTTTTGAGCTGAACGTTTCGGCCACCACAGATGATCATCATAAGGAGTGGAGAAAGGAAGTTTGAAAAAAAAACAAGAGAAAGTCGAACTGACAGACATCACAAAGGCATCTTTCTTGATTGGCCAAGGGGACGCCCACATCTGCGACCTGGGGCTGTGATTATTCCATCCGCGATGGCCGAAAGTCTAGCAATAAACTACGGCATTATAAAGTTGTGTTATTCTGTTGGAATCATATGTTGTTGTCTTCGAGATGAACGAAAACAACAATGTTGTTTGACAAGTAGTAGGACTCGGGGGGGGGGCGGAGTAACTAGGCTTGACAGTCCCATGGTAACTAAACCATTTGGTCCATTCGGATGGAATTTGACAAGCACCACACGTGGAGAAATACCGATCAGACAGGTTGATCTGTAGCAGAAGACATTACCTTCTTAATTTTAAAAGTAGCAGGACAACCTGTATGGGATCCTCAGTATTATTTTGACTTCTACTTTTCTACTCTTCCAACTTTCTGACTAATTAGCTACGTGCCAGGCCCTGAAATTGAGTGTTACTTCTTCAAAACAACGTTCGTTCTGTGCTTTGTCATTTTTGTTGTTAGTACTTTCACAACACTGTACCAACTTCCATTCACCTTAATGGTGTTAAAATTTTCCTTCACGGTACCATAGTCAGATTACCAGAACAACCATTCGAGTTTGTTTCGTTCCAACTTTTTCCTGATCAATATTCCATGATCACACAATTAAGCCTTGCTCTCGGCACACTAGGCATATTTGCCCTCTGGCTCTCCTGGACCTTTCCTTCTCCTCCGTCTACTGGTCGGACAAGGCTGGCCCGGGCTTTATTGTCAAGACCGCGCCGTGTGGGATGCGTCCTTCATCGAGGCGGTCCCCTGTAGTCAATTTCGTGAATACAGCCTGCTTATAGCTAGGACTGTATCCGTCTGATCGCGGCGTACTTTCATTGAAGACTAATTCTGCCGCACCACCACAAACTTTGATGGCCTGAATTTACGCTTTGCGGCTTGCTGTTTATGCATGCAGAGAATCACAAGATGGCTGACTCGTGCAATTTTGTACCATGAGACTCGATATAGTGTATGAGCTTGTGATTCGACACCGACACTATAATTTCTCGACAAGCGCAGTTCGGTTTCAGTTGAGATTTTGTCCTGTCAGTGAGGCTAATCTATACTGAAAAACCGAGAAGCTCTTATTGGGAATTTTCAGCAGTGCGCGTCTCATGAAACTCAGAATTCCGAAACCCCGACCTGGCCAGTGGCCGACTGAACTACGATCGAATCCCAGTGTTCTTTGTTTTTTCTTCCACAAATGTCCTGCACTCAGAACCTCACTAACAATCCAAACCACATCCTGGTTATAGATGTAAGCAGTCTCGAAACCTTGAAAAGTATTGGGTATTTGTCCCCATTCACTTTACTTCCTCGCAACTTTCCCTCTGTGTTTTTGTCCTTTGTTTCCAGCTTCGCAAAACAACTGCCGGATTACGATGTCGTGGAGGAGTGCAGTCAGGAATCAGTTACGAGTCTGGTTGATTTGGCTGTCTCAACTTGTGAGCGATTGGCTACTGAACTAGACCGAATTCGAGCAAACTACTGGCGTTATCGATCGCGTCAAATTCAGGCCATGACAGTTTAAACCAAAACCGACCGTCTACGATTTTTTGTTGTGATCACCGATTTGATTGTGAATGCCCGTAACATTCACTTGAAACTTTCTCCTTTTGCCACTAATTTTTGTCGAATGCCATGCAGATGCAATAAAGCGTTTTTATTTGTGAAAACCACCTTGGTTTCTGATTCCAGCTGTTTCGAGGTTTTCCTCATGACAGTCATGATTTTTCCTGTCCCTATAGCTTTTGTTTCCTGATTGGATTGTGTTCAGGTATTTTCAGTATCTTATTGTCCTAGACGTTGGTGAGATTATTCTCCCCACTGTTTCAGACTGTCAGCTGGTCTGACGGGTTGAAGCAGTTGCATGGTTTTGTGCCCTGGTAGTAATGGGATTGGGAGACTATTCTGATTGCCGGAAGCGAATTGTCCTGTGGTCACACACGAAATGCACTGATCGCGCCCCACTTGAATGGCAATCTCCCGGAGATTGGAAGAATGAAAGTCGAAATGAGTGTCTTCTGAGTCTTGAAAGTGAACGTTCGGATAGCTAACTGGCTTTACAAGGGTACCTGTAACGACAGAACTAAGCAGAGCTCGTTCGAAAGGCACTAGCGGCAACTTTGCATTTTTGGTCGTAGCATTCAAAAAATCGTTCAGCTGTAGCACCCTTTCAGTGCCTTACTGCCATGCCACTCAAAGGTTGCACGAGGGCTGGGATACTGCCAGGTTGCCCAAGTCTAGACAGGGGAAATTGAGAGGCGGAGGTCGGGTTCGAACCATGGACCTTCCGGTTAGTAAATTCGCGCTCTAACCCTTTGGGCCATCTCGTCGTATCATTCAGCTGTAGCCTAGCCGCCACGTCACTCGAAGGAAACATACTGGCTGAAATGCCTCTAGGTTGCCCAAGCCTAGATAGGTGCAGTCAAGATACCGGGGTTGGGCTCGAACCATGGACCTTCTGTTCAGTAATTTTCTCCCTTAACCCTCTGAGCTATCTCGAGCTCGTACTTGAGCTAGATGGACTTCAAGTTCGAAGCAGTTGTATTTCTGACCTCGTGGTTCTAGACTTTCATACGTCGAGAGTTCATGCAGCAGGCGGAAGCCACCTATCCAAAAAAAACAGAACTGTACTTCACCCCTAGGTGTGCGTTTCCGTTTATTTGTGTTCACAACACTTTCTGGACATCAGTTACCGGTTAACTGCTATTATATAGTACGGTTTCCTATTGCCATCCTCGTGTCCTCTCTACAAATCTGTGACATTGTTATATAGAGCTAATAGGAAGTTGGCCGATGAAAACCTCAAATTGACGTGAGAAGTGCAGCGAATTCCGAGGATTAAATAGGTTAAGCGTTCGTTTTGTTTGCAGGGGGTGTGTTTCGTCCCGAGGTCAATTCTAGGAGCATGATGGTTGTCGGTTATAGTCTGTATGCTCAGCAGCAAAGTCAACCTGATTCCTGTAACTTCCGCTAAGCATTAGTTGGAAAACAACTGTTTGATAGAATTCGCAGGCTAAATTGGACAGGGTGGTATCAAATGTTCCTCCCACAAGTGAAGTCAGGTTATGCTGAGAAGCTGTCCAGCTCTTCCATCCTTATTAAGACTCATCAGTAGCGTGCATCTCACGAGTCATCGTGGAGTTAGAACTCGCCACCTCCGGCTCAGACCGTTCGGCCATGAGCGGCTGATTAGTCACTCATCCATCGGTTACGGAATTCATGTTTTGCGGTCTTCTGTTGACTGGTTGGTTGCGTGACTGGAGGTTCCACTCGTGGTGTGAGTTGTTCTTCCTTCCGAGCCACTTATGGTTTGATGATGCGTTTACGCGACTCTCACACGAACATGTGTGCAACTTACAAAAGACGAATGCATTGGTGGCTTTCAAAACGCCCTAAATTGCAAGGCGCCAGTGATAGTGGCGCCCTTCATCGTACTGGGACACACCAATGAGGTCAGTCCAAAGTTTCGGTGAAATTCCTTCATGCTGCACGGCTGCTTCAAACATGCTAATTTAGTTGATCAGTACGCATCCAACTCTGATGGCTATCAACCTGTTGTTTCATCTCTAAAAGGCGGGTCAGTCACTAGAGGGAAATAGCCCACCCGAGTCTTCCTATCACAAAGCTCCACCCACCGAAATGGCAGGATTCACCCATCTGCATGCGAAGGGCGAGATTCTTGATATGCTGTTCTTGATCCAGGTGCAGGCTTGACTAAACAAAACTGAGTTCAAGGGGCATACGGTTGATGGAAACTTGCGGACCGCGCCTGCCTGATGAACTCAAAGAAGAGCGGACGAATCCGGTCGTGGTTTATGGAAGAGTCTTCAGCGAGGTCGTGAGTAATGTGACCCACCAAGAAAATATCCCGTCTGATTCACCTTCAAAACCCTTCTGAAATACCATGAAGCTTGTTCGTGACATCCGAATCGCTAAAGGTGAACGACCGGGCGGTTGCCTTAACAGAGCTGCGTTGCTAGCAGCTGGGTGCTAGGGCAACGCAAGTCCGCTTTGCTTTTCTCCAGCTTTAGCATCTCTGCGGTTCTTGTTGAAGAGCGGAGTCTACAACGCAATAGCGAGTCTGCTGTCGCTTCACAGTTTTAAAGTTTGGCCTCTGCATGTGTGGAAGGCGAATAGGGTGCTGCTTACTCCCGATCACCGGCTCATTCGAAGCATTGGATATTCATCCTGGGACATCGTATTTTTTTCCACTGAAGTGCGAGATTGGTTTTGGACAATAGGTCAACCCGATGGCTTAGATCGGCCCCATCAGTTCCACTGGCTTGCTTGTGTTTCACGTGCCGCCTAATCGATTGTCTCGTGTGGTCCTGGTTGCTGAAACGTTGCGACTGGAGCGTTTTGTAAGGTGAGCAACACATGATAAATCATGTGAAACACAATACTGGAATTTCATCCTTGTATCCGAGGCCCGTCCCATCGGTCCCATTGCTTGCTTGTTTTTCCCTTGCCGCCTAATCGATTGTCTCGTGTGGTCCTGGTTGCTGAAACGTTGCGACTGGAGCGTTTTGTAAGGTGAGCAACACATGATAAATCATGTGAAACACAATACTGGAATTTCATCCTTGTATCCGAGGCCCGTCCCATCAGTAGTTGCTTGACGGTAGTCAGCAACAAGTGATGCTTCTTGTCTATTCTACCACCCTTCATCTTTCATCCTTTTCCCTATCCACCGTTCACTGTGCTGCAACGCTGCGGCTATTGGATCCACCTTTCTTGCGTTCATCCTTCATGGTTGTTGAACTAAACTGAACTATCAAATCTGCCCACGCCGTCCGCAAGTTTACCCTATGTCTATCTTTGTATTAGTTGACAGCATCCGAAGTTTACAACAGATCCGGCTACCGCCTGTGTGAGCAGTAGTTGGTTCCATGAATTTAACAGATTGCAGCCTCATGGTGGCGACGGAATCGTTGTTGATTGCAACACTCCCAACTAGTATTGATCTATGCGGACTGCTTCGAGCTGAACTGACTCTTCCTGTACTGCGCTACATCTTATGGAGTTCCAGAGCGTCTGTGAGCCGCCGTGGGGGAATCTGGATGATATCCATATCTACCAGTTCGTTTTTGGTTTTCGGTGACCGCTCTAGGAAATGCGTAGTGAGCAACGTTATTTTGGTTCGGCCACCATTTTGGGTGAAAACCGGTTTTTCATACTTCTGTTTCTCGTTTCTGAGAGATCTGATACGAACGTATTTGGGTGTAGTTAGTTTGGCGGCTTTTGTATGTTAGAGACGCGCATTAGGTACGCAAATTCGATTTTGTTCAGTGGGGTTTGTCAACAATTTCCCCGATGTAACTAGTAGATGCTTTAAAGGTATCCTTGCTTGAGCGGTCGAATGCCACGTTGCGGAGCAAGTTAATCTAATAGAAGGCTTATAGCTGAGTTCTGGTGTACCTTTGTGATATGGTTGCTCCGGAAATAAGGGTTCACTGTCTCGTGGTGCAGTGAGTGCGGTAGGTTATCACCGGGGTTCTCAATACACTGTAATTCTGGTACTTTCGACAAATCAAGAGTACATATCTGATGATGATGGGGCACGACAGAACAACCTCTTCGAACATAGAGTGTGTCGCTTTCTAACAATGCTGAATCTTGGGAGTTATATTCGTTCAACATTGTAGACCACCATGTAACGTATAAGGTGAAATGAACCCTTTGGCAGAATAACCTTTCTCGTCGAGTGATCGGCAATATTGTGTACTCCACCCAATCCAAGTTGACCGCTTGCTTTCTAGCTTACTTTCAGCTTTTAAGCTGATTACAGTTCAGGGTCATTGTTTATTCAGCCTATCCGCCGTTGAGATTTCATGGACAGTTTTCTATGCCATATTTTACTACTATTTAGAACCACCGATTAGTGGTGAGAAAAGCAGGGGAAATCCCTACTGAAATTGGAGATACTTGTCTCTTTAAGTGCTCCGTACAGCAAAGTGTAATGAGGAACGCGGATTCTCCGAGATAGTGTTGTCTCCTCGGATGGGTTTCTCATGGGGTGGCATTTGTATCGAAATGTTTGCAGTTTCACATTCCACGAAAATCATATAAGGATAGTACATTTTCGCCGACTAAAATCGCTGCCAGTTTTCGCCTACCCCCAACGATATTTTGACGATGTTTGACTGCGTAAACCGAAAAGCATTCAAGTTTGCTAGAACCGTACGGTATCCCCGGAAGGTCAGTCTGCATTTTGGGGTCTCTGTTCACGGTTACGGTGGCACTGGTCTGTTTGTATGGCGATGGGTCCCCCATCTTTAGCTTTTCATCTGAGGTTCAACCGGGTGGCTTGCATAAGGGGCTAGAACATGGGCCGTCAGTAGCAGTAGTCAACGCGGTGTTCCAGCCGGTCAACCGATCACAACCGCCTGTAGAACAGTATATGGTTCTAGGTGGTTTTCCCCTGGTCTGTCGACCTGAAGATTAACAGTTTGATGCACTGTCCAGCCATCATTCTTAGTCCGGTTCATAAACATAAGGTTCATTTCACTTGATATGGGTACCTCGGAGTAACTCAGTATATCTGAGCTCCCAGATCTCGCGACCGATAGTCTGCTTCGTTACTCCTCGTACATCAACTGTCGTAAAGTCAAGTATCAAGCATGCAAGTCTGTTAACCGAATCTACGTTTAAACCAGTCGATGTGATCTGCGTGCACCTTGCTGTCAAGCTCACGTTCCTACCATTCTTCACATGGTAGGCTGGCATCTGTTTGCGGACTGACCTTTCCTAGTGAAGTACACAGTCACGCCTCCGCGCACAGTGGGTAACGTCAGATGCAGTTTGCGCTAAACCACGTGAACAACCAACTGAACGCCCGGTACCTGATTCAAACCCGGTGAATCACATCGAAAAATGAATAGTGGAGGGTAGTCCTAAAGCCATCAGCATGCTCAGCAGATGCCCTGTAAAGGTTAAATCATGTAGTGAGCAGCTGTTACCTACAGAGTAGGTCCACACCGCTCAAGGCTTATCGGTTGCATACACACACCATTTCTATCGTAGTAACCACAACACACTTTTTCAAGGCATATTTCGTATGTGCTCTATGTATCAGCGCTAAGGCGTTATTTTAAACCGTGCAGTTGGCCGTTAAGGCGAGTAGCAATCTGTGTGCCAAATTTAAGCTTACAGCGGCACTGAAAAGTGACTGGGGGAAGTTATATGACAATCATTGTTTTGCACGTGAAAGTGGCTTTTGGCTGACCATAAAACACCTGGTTTTCATGCGAGAAATTGACAATAAATGAATCCTCTCCATCCACCATCCTGGTTACGTGCGTTGACCTGTTTCCACACGTTTTACGTAACAGATGGCGACGACACAACACAGCGTCATTGAAATACTCGGATTGCGTAGAATACTGTAAAAGACACCAAAAGCCATATTCTGTTTAGCGCTGTTCTCCCCGAGTTTCAGGTGCGATATTGTCAAGATTTTTGTCCGATTAATTTTATTTGGAAAATAGAGTTCGACTACTTCCGCTGCATTTCTTAGTGTAGTGGTGATAAGATGGATAAAGCGATGACAATCCAACATTCTCACCGTAATTCGGGTCGATGTTGCTGGATTTCATCTTCAGCTGAATACGGGAACCAACATAGACCAATCAATTAGAAAAGGTTTGGAACCGATTAAGAAGTCATCGTTTCAGAAGAGCTGACACGTGTTGGTGTGCGGTCATCAGAAGGAAGAGTGGTCATCATTTGAATTCCACTTGACCTCAACCCCCCTCAAACTAAATTGTCCGAGCACTCACGACCCCACAAAGTCCAGGGAAAATCTACTAGTGGCAACCGAGGTGAATCATCAACTGAAGCACCCTGAAGTGGAAGAATAACGAACCAAACCCGATCAGAGTACATCATAAACGAGAGATTCAGCTGGGTTCCAAGTGAGTCTCTCGAAAGAACCAAATTAGTTTGCAGATGAGTGTACTTTCGCCGATCAGAATTAATTTGAAACTCCCCCAATCCACCGAAGCAAGATTTTGGCAACCGCGCTAGCCGGCAAGAGCCGTTAATTGACACTCAACACTGATCTAGTGTGATAATCTGAAGAGGGCTGACTTACTGATTGGTTCCCCGTCTGCCTTATAACCTGGCCAATTTGGCGACCTGCTCACTTGACCCGATGAAGCTTTTGTGTCAAAAGCGATATGTTGCCCAAATAAAAACTACCGATTGTTTATCAGGCTCTTCTGAAACAACATAGACCAATTTTTCTTTTAGGGGGCGAGATGGCTCAGGTGGTTACAGCGCGAATTTACTAATCGGAAGGTCCGTGGTTCGAACCCGACCTCTGCCTCTCGACTTCCCCTCTCTAGGCTTGGGCAACCCGGCAACGCCCCAGCCTTCGTGCTTCCTTAGGGTGGCATAGCAGCTAGGCACCGGAAGGGTGTTAAAACTGAACGATATATATATATAATTTTTCCTTTAGAAGGTCTGATATTTCATTGCTGTCTCCATACTACCTAGGCATAGTTAGTTCATCAAAGGATCCTCGTGGATATGTTGACTTCCAAACTGATCATTCACAATCGACGTCTCGCCTCTATAGGTAACCTCTCAACAGAGGAGGGGATGAAGAATGATGTTATCAACTCTTCAGAAGAGCTCTTTTGAACGGCTTGCTGCGGATTTTTACCAATGGTTCAGTCCGAAAGGCGTTTTTGTAGACTGTCGTGTCTTTCTCACGCAAAAACTGGTCGCAATGTGACCCAATTGGATCCGGGTTCGTCACAGGTGGGTGCTTTAGTGCTACTGAGGGCGGTGTTTCAAAAGTCACTAGCACGAAAGATTCAGCTGCCTCACCCTAGAAATTGGCGGTCTTACCTTCAGATCTTCTCACGGCATCAGCGTTGTCAACCTATCCGAGTTTTTCACGTGTCCAAACATTGCCAAGCTCGGTGAACAAGCCAGCTGTGAGCTGACCAAGAGTCAATAACTATCCGGATTTGTTATTCTGCCTTGTATATCTTTTGCTAAGAGCTATAGGGTTTGGTTCCTTGAGTTAGTGAAACGTCTTTGCGAGAGAACAAGGCATAACTCCAGCGTACTCATCCAAGGAGTTTCCTACGAAATGATACACACTTAAAATGTTCCTGGGCTCAATATCACTGTCGGTGTCAAATCAAACGCTTAGTATGCGGAATCATTTGGGTCAATGCTGCCTCGGCCTCCCGGTCAACTGAACACCAATAAACCCTAGTTGATCTTGCCAAAAATATGTTTGCCATAATGTCTAGGGGTTGTCTGTTGATCTGTTCGCCGAGCTCGGGAATCGATTTGCAAACGTTTCATCGCCAAGTGAGGAGACATTATCAGTGCGCACTGGAACATCATCATCCTTTGGTGACGAGACGCAAGTCAATTTCCGATTTCGGTGAGCAGATCTGCAGCCGCCTGATCAATATGCAAGTAGCACACCCGAGCTGCCTGTATTTCGACACGTGAGTGCCCAAACGCTTCGAACTACTCGCAGCATTTAAGTTTTTTTATTTGGAAATGAAGATCCATTCCGATTCTGAAGTGTCTACACGATTTTTTTTGCTCAAACTACTGGCAACCGTCACAGGCACCGATTCGTGTGATAAACGGTGAAAATGGTCGATTTTTAGCGGCTTACGGTTCCAACGCTTCCACGTGGATCAGCTGTAACACCATTTCAGTTCCTGGCTGACATACCACCTGAAGGAAGCACGAGTGATGACGTAAATCCAGTTGCCCAAGCCCAGACAGGAGCTATCGAGATGCCAGGATTGGGTTTGAACCACGGAGCCTGCCGTAGCCACTGAGCTACATTGATCTCCTGCATCGAAAAACTATCTAACTCGCCGAGCATCCTTAAAACATGTAAGGAAATATATGAGCATCTATTAACTTGCGAGTTCTCAAAGTTCGAAATACCGCTCCAACTGCAGTTCAGTGGTATGCCGGAATAGACTTGTATATATTACGTCATCCTTCACCCTCCACGATATCGTAACGTTTGTTCTAGATAAAAATTTCAGTTTCCCTCTACCGCTAGTGAGGCACGAACAGCCTATGAATCATGTTCTCATGCACCCCTCATGGGCACACCATGATTCATCACGTATATCATTACGATCCGCTTTACTTTTCAGTCCTCGTAATCCATGAGTGCTCGCTGTTTCCAGAATCCTTACAATGATGTGACGGATCCAAGACAGCCATTAGTTATCAGCCCAGAGTTTTCTATGCAGCAAGCTTTGGAATGTATACAAACTTGTTTCAAGGTAATTTTCTCCGGCATTTCCGTTTTTACGTTCCTTTCTGCTGTCACCAGAAGCCCGTGTCATGCCCCCTTCTGTCTGCATTTTTTATCAGGTGGGCAATACACCTAGCTGATTCCTCCTCATTTCTCCTAGACAATGACCATAACTCAAACACACGGGTGTTGTTACTCAAAATATTGCTCCATACTTTTTGGGTTTTGGGACCATAGCAGCCGTGATTGCCGATTTCAATCAGCTCCTTTCTCCCATCATCTCGTCATCTCGCTGCCGCGGTTGAGCAGCAAGCTTACGGATTCTTCGTGAGTGTATATCTCCGTGCACTCTCCCAAACTATAAGACTTCGTCCTTTATTGACTGAAGAACGTAACCAGTGATCTCTGCTGCCGTTTTGTAAACTCTCTATCTGAGCCAGTGTTGACAGTGTTTGTTGACACGTTGAGTTGTGGTGAAATAATTAGTGCAGTAAAGTAGAAGTCTTTATACAAATACTATAGAATTAAACCCAGGATTTTTTCTGTTTATGCTGGTAAGTTATACTCTTTTACAATCATAAATTGCTCCTAGGGCTGTCTGACGCAATGGAAGCAATTCAAAGAGCACGTGAGGCCGTGCGCGCAGCCTGAGGTGATAACACACTTTTAATATAAGCTACTGCCCAGTTTGAAAGTAGCTTCTTTCCTTTGCTTCTAACGCCGGTGCAATGCATTCGGCTGTTGTTTGGCCACTTGGGATCAGTAATCGTCCCTAGCGAAGATTATGTTGTGAAAAGTCGGGTTAAGTCTGATTAATACTTAAAAAACCGTTATGTTCGGAAAAGCAGGAGGGCCTACTTTTCCACTCAAACTAAGGACTTACAAGCGGGTTATTTTCAACCCGCACACCATTCGGACACAGGCTTCTAGGTTTGGTCATTTTTCCGGACTGCGAGAAGTATCATTAATCTTGCCGATAACTCGGATGTGCGTGGAAGTTGTTATCAGTCGTGACCACTCTCGATTAGATGCTGGTTGTCATGATTTCTGGCTGATAAACGATTATCAAAAACTACTGTAACTGTGTACCAATGTGGTGCACGGAAGTATCCCGCCGATGACATGGTGTCACACAACCCTAGCAGGCCCTCATCTGAAAAGTAAGGAACTGGGAATCTTCTTTTAAAAGAAGTCCTACAAAAACAGTGACACCTGTTTCCTCTGCTTACGCCAAAACTCAGTTCATGTCGTGCACTTGAGCCGGTACGCATAACATATTTGTTCATGATTGGGCAGTTCGCCTCAACCGTTGACTGTGTTCCCCTCACCGTTGGTTGGTGTTCTATTAATTTTGAACGCCCTTCTGTACCATTACGTGTCGATACAGGACGTTCCTAACTGGTGCGTTCTGGTTCCACCTTAAGGTCATTGCATCCAGCGGTGGAAGGCGTTGTACCAGATTTGTTCGGACGTGGTCGATGAACTCAACTGTTTACGTCTATAACGGATCCGGGTTTTTTGTAGTAGCCGTCTGCCTGCATATGTTTCATCACCAATCAGGGTGAAATCATCAGTGCACAACTGTGTGGATACTTACTATTCACTTGCTTGATTTTATATAGTTTTCGAAGACTGTCCGATACCCACTGATGTGATTGGCTTGTTTGAAGGCACGTTTTTCGCAAGCTCAAAAGCCCGCTTGCGATTTGTGTAGCGTTGTGACCTGTATTCATCGAATTCCATTGATCCGTTCAGTGACTTCTTTCCGATGACTTTTGCCTCGTTCTGATTGGTCGGATTCCGATTCGTGATGCATCGTGATCTAACTCCTTTGAATTTCGTCGGTTCTTATCGTGGTTCCTATTTTAATAGTCTTCTTTTGTTTGCTTGGTCCGTTTTCAGTCCCCATTGTGCTGCGGTTTGATTTTCTTAAGTTTTCTTGACTGGCTGCGTTTCTTGATATAGTTATTCCTTGTGCTTCAAGAGTTATCCGTTTTCAATCGGTTAGGTACCTTTCTTTGTCAAAGCGTTCTCCATTCTTTTTTTCAATTTCGCTCCTTTATTTCTTCGTTGAATGTGAACTCTCGACAGCCTCATGCATCTTTTGGAGCTTGATCTGCCTTCTCCTCCTTTGTGTCTCTCTTCTTTTAAGCTCTGTGAATTTGGTGTTTTTTTGTCCTTGTTGATTGACAGATCGGGTCAGTTTCACTATCTTTGTTGACGGCTTTCTTGTTAGGGTACCACACATCCATGAATTCACATCCCTTCTTGATTGCGCTAGTGTGTGGACATTTTTCTAATCAATTTTGTATCCATCTTGATCTTCCTGCACAGAGATGCTTGAGAGTTTCTGGTATCTTTAGCAAGTCTCCGTTTTTTAGTCTGCTAGAAAGCGGTTTCCAGCTGTAACACCCTTTCGGTTCCCAGCTGCCATACCACCCAAAGGAAGCGCGAGGGCGGGGTGCTGTCAGGTTGCCCAAGCCTAGACAGGGGAAATCGAGATACAGAGTTCGGGTTTATACCACGGACCTTCCGGTCAGGGGGCGAGATGGCCCAAGTGGTTAGAGCGCGAATTTACTGACCGGAAGGTCCGTGGTTCGAATCCGACCCCCGCCACTCGACTTCCCCTGTCTAGGCTTGGGCAACCTGGCAGTATCCCAGCCCTCGTGCTTCTTTCGGGTGGCCTGGCAGCTAGGCACCGGAAGGGTGCTACAGCTGAACACCTTCCTTCCGGTCAGTAAATCCGCGCTCTAAACACTTAGCCATCTCGGCCCGTTTGTTGTGAGCTCTGCGTTTAATCTTTCTCGACTTTGTCTTCATCATTTTGTCCACTTTTCCTTTTGGGCTCTGACAAAGCTCTCCTCCATATGTTCACTGATTTTTGGGCGACCGTTGTATTGTGCTGTCGTAGCAATTCTACAATCATTTCCGAAATGCTTTCGATGTACCGAAGCTCGGTGAGAGCCAAGGTGGATGTACACGTAACCTGTATGCATCAGTTCTTGAGTCTACCTATCTGAGTTATAATTAATGGCCTCGCCCATGGTGAGCTGTAATCCACCGAACGTGGCATCCACCACCTGCTGAAATGTTGCCGGAGCACACTTGACCGCAGAAGGCAGTAACGCTAATGGCCTCAATGTGTATTGGTGGTGAGCAGTTCTGAGGAATGTTTTTCGATCACTACCTATAAGCATACATCGGGAAGACCGATTGGTGAATGAATCTTCTGGAACTAGTACGGGATATTCGTGCACTCCTGATGCTTTGTTTTGTCCAGTCGAAAAATCAGCCCCACTGCCGTTAGCTTTTTCGATAACTACACTGGATGCGGCCCACGATGAATCGATGTTCCGCTCGAAAAGATGCCGCCTGAAAAGAAGCACATTTTACTGGCCTCTGAGAACAAAGTACTGGAACTACAGCCCGGGGGCACGTATGCAACGTAGCCGCTACCTTGGAATTACCATTTCAAGACCCTTTACAGAAATTTAGACTCAAATTGTGTGTAAAATTTTACGCTATCTCCAAAAGTTACTGGTGCAACCGAACATAGGTTACTGGTGGGATATATTGAAAGATTACTTTAATGCTCACAATCACTGTTCCATAATTTCAGTTTGTCTACCTAATCAACTACCCGACAAGTATAAATACACAACAAACACTGTCGGCATGCACCTCACGAAACGCAAACTCACGTTTGAGCTGTCCGACTAAAAATAACTCTGAATCGGATGCATTGTGAACGGTGTGTGAACTTCAACCATGTGCGTCAAGTGAAAGGTTATCCTACTGTCTGGAGCAGTGTCCAATTAAAGCTAGACAGAGACACGGTTTTTTAATAAGTGTATTTGGAAAACAATAAGAGCGGTGCTAAAAGCTCGGGGTTCTGGCAAAATTCTACTGTTGTCTTCCGGACACTTTTTTCATTTCTTAATGTTCCATATTTTCACGAGGTTTGTAAATATGTCATTTGAACTGGCGATGCCGAGCAGACTAGCATTGTCCATCGTGCCAGCAAGCACTCAGTGGATAGCTTCGGCGAGTAACTCCGGACAGCTGTACTGGGCCATGTTACGACAATCAGGCGACAGTGGTGTGTGCATCCACCATACGAGTTTTGTCACCTCAGATAATTTTCGTATCATGCTTCAGCACCAGCATAGGTTGACAGTCTCTCATGAGCTTCTCGAGTGATATGTCGTCTGGATTCGACTCAATAACACTCAGGTCCGCGAACGTAGCCCACAAACGAAAGTGAGGGCTTTGAAGCGATCCCCTGTGGTCGTGTTGTGCTGGGAGTGTTCAAATTCTTCGTTAGCATAAGTTGCAAAATTATCTTCCCGAGTGTTGACGGCTTGAAGGTGCTTCACTTTCACCTCGATTAGCATCCCGGGGGAAAGGGTTGCCTGGAATGTGACCATGGTATTTCATATAATTTCATGGCTCCAGTTTTGTCAAAACAATACTCACGCGATCCGGATCAACCGAATTACCTCCATCAATCTTCAACAAGCCTTCATAACGATGAAGCCTTGATTCAAATATATGACCGTCTTCCGGTTGGTAGTGAAATTCTGTCTAGCTGTTAGACGATAACGAAACAGCTGGCATATAAAAACATTTAGGTCAACTACAATGGTTAGTTGCTGTGCGATCGATTTGACCTCGACCGATAGGTTCGTATGCACTTTCTATTGAGAGAGAGTCACATCCCTTCTCCGAAGCAGACACCATGTGCATCTAGCTCCCCTTACGGGTCTTCTGAAAGTGTACTTTTGATCACGCTCTCAATGTAATCATCTCAAGCGGACACCCCAATCGGGCCGAACTAGCATTCGGTGGACCGCGATTTTACACAATAATTGACGGGTTGACGTAATTCGCACATCACATTAACCGTGATTAAGTTAAAAAATGATGTGCTTCTCTTTTATGCCAATCGAAAAATGCTTATACTTTTGTTGTACAGGTTTTTTATGCCGTGAAAGCAAAGAATTTGCAAACATATTCATTTGCATAGCAATTTGGTTTTCAAGGGAGACTCACCTGAATTCCATAAGGTTGACAGAATCTCGGAGACTACGCCTGCCTGATGATTCCCGGGGAAGGCGAATCCTTTTGTGTACTGTTGGAGAGTTTTCACCAACATTATGAGTAGTTTCCTTCATGAAGATATCACAGAACTTTTCGCTTTCTGGCTAATCAGTAAGCCAAGAAGGAGATCAGACTTGTCCTCTAGCCGTGAAGCTCATGTTTAATTTCAAGTCGACTAGCTAATCAGCTTCTTTGTGAGAAATCAAGAAATACAGTCAGGACAAACAGCTAAATTCATATACACTCACTCTTTTATGTTGCCACCTGACTCCCTACACGTTCTACATGTTTGTACCAATAATCTAATATTCAATGCTATCCGATTGCTTCAGGGCGTTTACCTCTATTGTTATTTTGCTTTGTTTTGCACAGTGAGGTCAGCGTTCCAATCGGTGTTTACAGTTTTGTTTCTTGTTCTCCAATCAAGACAATTATGGAAAAGAGCTTAAGAGGATCGGAGAATTAGGCAACCTCTAATTAATCCCATCACTTGTTGTTTAGTTGTCCGCCTCAAAAAAATCGATGATATCCAATCATCAGAATGTCATGTTTTAAGTTCATCGAGTATGGAAAATGTTTGGATGAAAACTCGTTCTGGTTGGTGAATGTTCAGGACACGCTTTGCATCAACTCTGGTTCAGCAAATAAGATAATAGAACCGCGAATTTTGAACTTGCTTTAGTGAAACTCTCACTACTTCGGAGTAGGCCTCGAACCTGTGACAGTCGTTTCACGATCAGTGACTTTTCCAAACTTGATTTAATAGACATTTGCCTAACATTTGAACAATCGTTTTAATCTTCATTTTGCAGAATTGTCCACCCAGTCCTCGGACATTTGATGGATGCCTTTATACCGGCTACATTGGTATTGCCTGGGCTGCACTCGACATCACTCGACACGCGAACGTTCCCTCGACAGCCCGCTCGGTGCTGCTAGGCAACGCAAAACAGCTAGTCGAAGCCGCACTTCGATCGGTTCAGGAACAGTCAAACGCTCGACGCATGAACAAAGAAGATTGCTTGTCGATACTTTTGGGACAGCCTGGAATCTGGATAGCAGCTGTTATGCTTTATCAGGTACCGTTGCTTTGATTTTTTCGGAGGGGCTCAGTTGGAGGTTATCATGTCTATTCTTAGTTCTTGAATCTAGTTCTTTGAGTTCAATATAGTATAGCAGGACATCGCGAAAGCATGATAATTCAAGGGAAGCAGTCATATTGGCATCCACTGGATGTGTTATCTCTTTCTTGAATCCCACAGGTGACCATGACCGACGGTGAAGAATGCCGAGACCTTCCAGTGAATGTTTATTGTTGGTATTGTGTTGGAATATCGGTAGCTCGGTTGCATTAGTTGGCAATTGATCAGGTTGCTGTTTATCCGTTCGCCGGGGACAGACTTTCGCCGTTCATAGTTGCAGAAATCGCTCATTGAAAATGAGCTGCGATCTTGCCTGATCATCGGGCAGTAATGCGGTATGCTACCACTCACTTCATCGAAGGTTTATTGTTGGTATTGTGTTGGAATATCGGTAGCTCGGTTGCATTAGTTGGTAATTGATCAGGTTGCTGTTTATCCGTTCACCGGGGACAGACTTTCGCCGTTCATAGTTGCAGAAATCTCTCATTGAAAATGAGCTGCGATCTTGCCTGATCATCAGGCAGTAATGCGGTATGCTACCACCTCACTTCATCTTAAACCGCATGACTTGAGTCCCGTGAGATCTGGCTTGAAGTCAGTGCCGTCTGAGGGATTACTCACTAACCCTCAACAGCTCAAGATATTCCCCAATTCAAAGTCCTCTCTGAACAAAAGAAAAACAGGATTGAAAAATCGAGCACTGGGTCGTCATATATTCCAACACTAAATAAATATCTAAGTTCAACGTGACAGCTTCAATAGTTGTGGGCTTCAAAACACGTGTTTTTTATCCATATGTCGGTACTGCTACAATCTGCCCCTCTACAAAGATCGTCCTTCTTTTTATTGGTCTCCTGAAACCCCTTCCAATACTCGACCTCCCCTACTCCAAAGGAATCACTCCTCTTCGGCCTCTTTAGATGGGCTCTACTGAAACAACAACTACAACGCATATTTTCATCCCTAAAGCAACCAACTAAGAGTGCTGCATGTTCTCTTTTTGAAGGCGTGTGTGCCAGGTTGGTAGCGCATTTAGATAAGGGTAGTACCTACGGTTATACCGTCATAACCGGTACAGAATATTCTATTTTCCGGCTAACTCGTCATTAAAGATGTTAGTCAAGCCAATGAATATTTTATACCTTGCAGCGCTTGTCTGAAAATCGGAAAGCGATTGTTTGTCGAGCTAATTGCGAAAAAGAAGTGGTAAAATTTCCCGGTGGCCTGCTTTCATCCCAATTTCAGACCCACTCTTCGCTCAGCTCAGCAGTGAAAAATACTAGCTACTGATAAAAAGGTCTACAGTTCGTACCCACACTTGAATTTTATATTTCCCCTGTCAGGGATTGACTAACCGACTGCACCAAAACCGTCTTGTTTCTGCGAATCGAAAAGATACTGCAGTTGAACGACCTGAATTCCGAATATTTACAACCGATTACTTTGCTCGATCAATTCGCTCAGTCGAGGAGCTCCTGTCAGTCTGATCAAAATGCTCAGCCAGTAATTCGCACTCTCTTTCCAGTTGTTTAACTCTTGCCACTTGGCATAGGCCACAAAGCTGGGTGACGAAAATAAACAGTGACAGCTCATCTTGAGTTGGATCATTGAATTCTCACCCCTAAAACTGATTGTTCACTTTAAGCACAAGTGACCATTAGTGCCCACTACTCATCAGCGCTTGTTTGCCTAATTTCTTCCGCTCTTGACTGGATTTCGCGCACACTTGAGGCTATTAACAAGAGTCCGGATACGTAGGTTCTACAACACTCACGTCAGTCGTGTTCCTAGTCATCTTCCTTCTTCTCTCTAATTCAGTTAAGGATTGACATGATTTTACGTACTCTTTAGCTCTTACTCGTCAGTTAGGTCGTACAAATCAAAGGAATCTCGATCGCTTCGTTCTCTACACCCATCATCTTTATGGTACTTGTAATTTCATTTGTTCAAGTACGTCTTCCATAAAGTTTTTTTCTTGTCGTTAAATCTACATCTTTTGAGTTGCAAAACTCGTAACGTTGTATGACCAGGTGAATCAATTTAGATTTGGTGAGACATTTACTACAGGATATCGTTTTTTGTGAGGATGAGATTTTGGTTACATTTAAGCTGCATTAAACCTTCAGAGAATACTTTGTTCTGAAGAGTTAGTTCCGAAACCGGATCGGAAAATTTAGGTCTGTTTTCTTTAGTGACTAACGAAAGCGTTCTTTTACGATAGTTAGGTATCCCTAGGCAAAGCATCTGCACAACCACCTTCAACGACCTGCTGTAACCGATTAAATTGAAGTGATATCGTTCAACAAAACCGTAATTATTTCAGCGCAATACAGTCATTTGCGAGAAACGCACCTGGAACCCAGCTGAACGGTTTTGATCTGTTTTCTTTAGTGACTAACGAAAGCGTTCTTTTACGATAGTTAGGTATCCCTAGGCAAAGCATCTGCACAACCACCTTCAACGACCTGCTGTAACCGATTAAATTGAAGTGATATCGTTCAACAAAACCGTAATTATTTCAGCGCAATACAGTCATTTGCGAGAAACGCACCTGGAACCCAGCTGAATCTCCCGGTTTTGATGTTTTGTAATGATTTCCAGTCCTTATGCGAATGTAGACTCTTTCACCTGGAAAGGCAAAACAAATTAGACTGAGCGTTTTGTCTCAGTCAACTGCCGTGTGAAGGAGGACGTGGCCTTTTGAAGTGAAATTCAGCTTATGTGTCCCCCTGGCTAAAGTATACTTTAATACAATCCGCAGTTCAGTTCTCCGGCTAGCTTACCCATTATATGATGCATTGCAGTTGCATGTGAATCAATGGACTCAGTGGTTTTTGGATGGTATCTATCTACCTTGGCAACCTGATGAGCGGTGAAAGCATTAAATTTGTGTGTTGTGATCCTCGGTTGTGCAGCAGCATCGCCAACCCTTCTTGGCATCACATCTAGCACTCTTTTTGAGGAACTCATGAAGCTGTCACCGTTGTAGGAGATATCACGAAAAATAACTGTCGGTTGTTACCGTTTCATACTGTCAACACTAAAATGTTTCTCAGTAGCTTCTCACTGAAGCGATCTGAATGTCCCATGAAATGTGAAACAATTTCGAGCGGCTGAAGTCCCGTGATACATCTTGTCTTGTTCCTAATAAGTAGTAGTAGTAGTAGTATTAGTCATGTGTACTGTGATGGACAAAATCTTTCGAATATATTGTCCTGTTCGGGTAGGTTTTGCTAAACAGACCAGGACCTAGTCCCATCAGGATTCTTCTCAACTTAGAAATGGGAGCCGATTGTTATTCACAAGTAAAAGAGTATTAGGGTATAATGTATTTTTAAAAAAACTAGTAGAAAGTTTTCAGTTGCAGGCAACAGAATATCACGTAGATACGATGAGATCTTGTAGCTTTCTTGCATTCGGCCTGTTCAAGTTTGACCTTGAAAATATCTGACACCGAGTACAATGAATTCATTCATAAGTGGGAACTCGTGGTGAGCCACTAGGGAATCATATAAACGACAGGTACGTTAGTGAACAACGATCACATATCAATGGAATACAGTGTCACACTGGCGGCATCCGTTTTGTTTCAAGAACTTGAATGTTTTCCGAATGCTACTTCGTCCGTGTAGCGTATGGCCAGTTGCTAAGGTTATCCTAAGGTGAGTTATTCCTTTCTAAGGTACAGCCGATTAATAACTCTTCCTTAACTTACAGAGCTGCAATTTATTGTAACCAACCAAGTTCATTTAATTAAATTCCATTAAACGAACTCGGGCAGCAAAACAACGAACCACAGGGAAATGGTTGCTGAATCGCAAACTGGTTGTTTACCTGTTGTCTTGAGCAACAGAAAGGTGGGATATTTGAACGAGGGACAATTCGTGTTCCGCTAAACCGAAATTTTCACTGTTTGGACTAGTGTTCTACGAGAAAAACACGAAAATTCACAAAGGAGGAGGCGATTGAGCGACAGAACAATTGTAGTTTCGGCAACTATCGGTGTGTTACAGCCAAAACTGTAGCTTCGAACCACACCCAAGCCTTCAGGTAGACGAGGTAGCGTGGGAGCTAGGTTTTTGTGTGGTATGTAAGAACAGCTTACAAGTACACAAACCTTGACGGTAGATACTGTTTCGAAACAAATGTTCTATTCGGATTGCAAGGATATAGGTAGTTCTATTAGACACTGGACAATCACTTGAGTTCAAGGGCACGTTGCAATTGATATGATGAACTCAATGTAAGTAACTAAGCGGAGTCGAACAAACACCACTTCATGTGCACATACTAAGTACAGAAGCGGAGCGAGAGTTACGTATGGAATTAACAGTGTCTGAACAAAGGATGTTACAGTCTGGATAACACATATATTTGATGGGTTCATTTAAGCCACTTCCATCACGGTTTCCATTGTGTTCGTATGTTGAATCTATCAGATGTACCCGCTTACTGTGTCGTATCCTTCGAATAAGAGCCTAAGTACACACAATGTAGACAAGCAGACAGTCCATTTCCATATTAGCTTTCGGCTGCTCCGTCAATGTAAGGAAGCGCCATTTCACAGAATTGTTCCATATGCGATCGTCGATCGTCTCTCTCTCTCTCCCTCTCTCTCTTCCCTTAGGCTCTTCGCTGGTTTTCGTTTGAAGGGGCCATGTGCCATCACCGGTCACATTCAATGGTCCGCTGAGCACTGAGCTCGGGTGAATAAACGTTCTTCAACCGAGTTGAGGGGCATTGAGTACTCTCATTGAATAGCTGTTATCTCAACCGATGGTGTGGTGCGCATTTCACGAATCTATAAAGAGACAGCATATAGCCTTCAACCTCCACAATTGTGCACATCTGTGCTCCAATTCTCACACTGGTGATTGCTCCTCTAGCTTAGTTCGACTAATCTGACCTCGCTAGACTGCTACAGATAATCGAAAATATGATTAAACCAATGCAACCGGCTTAGGAAAGGAGCTGCTACCCGTGAAGCTCTGTTCCTAACTGGTCAACACCTTGCTTTCTGATATCTTTACCATGTTTCATAGAGGGGTTCTTTTATCTGTAGCAAATTCTGCATGTTTTGTCTTCTTTTTGACTCTATGTAGCAACTCAATGATATGGAACAGCGAAATCGTTTTCTGGAAGCTTACGTCAATTTGGCCCCTCACTTCCAACCGGCAGTCATATTCCAACAAGGATCTGATGAGTATTTCATTGGTAGAGCTGGTTATTTGGCAGGTCTGGCGGTACTCCGGTCGTATACTGGTGAGGTGAGTCGAACTGTTTCAACTATTGATCCACGAGTTGAGTTCTATGCAGCTGTGTGTGTGCACATCCATCGTAGGTGTCCCCTCAACCGATGACCAAGTGTTTGCATACGAGTTGCCAAACCTAGCGAACGACAAACGCCAATATTTCGGCATATTTATAACGCATGCAGAGTTTGATTGTCTGACAACCGATTTGCTGTCCAAAAGAGGTTAATAAGGGAAAGCCTCCACTGACCGAAGGGAGGTTGTCAGACACCAAGTCATGTGCGACGGAAAATACTTTTGTAAAATATCCAGAATGGAAAATCTCCCTTGGTGTCTTAGCCTATTTGATTTAGCTTCCGTTTCTTCTGGAGAGGCTGAGTGTGTTGTATAGTCTGCTGGGACTTGTTGTTTGATTGCATCTAGACCTAGTTTAAGATTAAGGTTGGATTTCTTGTCGAAAATAGCTACAGATTATTCACGTTCCTCTTATGCTTTGCTTTTCCTATCTTGGGGACCTGTTACTGTACTCAAACTATCAGGATGGCGAGATTGCTTGTTATTGGGGCTTTCAACCTTTTGGGAAACGCAACAGATGACAACTGACAGTCAGTGTCTTTTTTCACGTTCCTGCCACAGATGGTTTATTTGTGTTCGTATGTATAGATGCGTGTCTTTGTGTACATCTGCAGGTTCCTATGTACGTATGTGTAATGCTCTGTCAATATATATGTATATGTTCACCTACCAGTGGACCGATTGGACATACTTCTCCCTTAGTGATCCTGATCTGGGACAAGTGCTCCCTTTTCTCTCTTGATCATGTGACCCCGAGTCGATAAGGGGCGTACTTTTGTGATCAAGCGAAACAGTGATGGTAGTATCCATCGGACGAAAACAAGACGCAATGAAAAGAAGACTTCAGATTGGGACATGATTTTTCGGGTGAAGGTCTCGACGGCTAAGAAAAAAGAGATACCGACTTCAGGACTTTGAAATATAGGTATTCACCCTCCCCGCTTCCAGAAGTGCCTTTTTCCATCACCATACCGGTTTCTTTACCGAAAATACGGGGAACCTAGTATTAATCTTTCCGGCTGGATCCGGATTGTACTGGGACTTGGAATTCCACCTGTTCATGAAACGATTGTCGCATTTATGTGACCTGCAGATCTCCGGGAAATGTACTGTGAGCTTCCCTCAGTACTGTACTCTCTCGCTACTGTAGCTTCTAAGAGAACCGATGGATTTGGTCCTAGTAGGGATCGGTCATAATCGAGAGGGAAAGATGTTTAGGCTAGACTTTCAATAATGAACATTGTGGAATGTACCAAAACCATTTTCACGCATAAGCATTAGGCTTTATTCGCCTTATACGATGGATTGAATGAGGGTATGTGTAACGTCATGTGCTTTGGTGACTTTCATTACGTTTTCCTCCTTAATAGTTTGAAAAACACCGCTTGCCAGCCCATGGATCCAAATTCGCATTTCACCAAACTGAAATTCTTCAGAATGTCAGTTGATTTGGTCATATCGTTGCTAAATAGTGGAAATGTACTGGAATTTTGGTAGCTCTGGTCTGTTCTCACTCAGTTGATCAGATAGCTGTTGATCGGTTCACCGAACTTTGCAGTTGACTTGCAAACATTTTGTCATTGATCGGGAGGGCATCACCAATGCTCAGTTGGATGGATGCTAACCCAACCGAGGCTAGAATATCATATGCGAAAGAGTCAGCTGAGTCTCCCGTTGGCAGCAATGTAATTTACGAATGAGCGTACCTTGCCACTTGGTTTCATTTGCTATTCATGCATGACACAAGCTTGACGGAAACTCGGATACTATGTCTACTTGATGGGCCCGTAGAAGGGCAGACGAAACCAGTCATAGGTTCTCAGAATATTTTCAGCAACCTCATTAGTAGTACGTTACGCCGAGAAATTTTCTTACGATCTCTCGAATATCGTCCCAATGGGAACGTCAGGTTGTCTTTATGCAACACATTCGGTTGGATAATATCATTGAAGAATAATCCAGTCAGGATTCAAATGAGTCTACTGTTACGACCGGCTTATTTTGCAGATCAATGCATTTCGCCAAAATGTTTAATTGCTGTGCTGACTAGCCTGAAATCATTCCAATAAGACAGTCTAAAGAGAATATACACTCATTTGCAGACTAATTTGGTTTTGCAAGAGACTCACCTGGAACCCAGCTGAATATCTCGTTTGTGATGTTCTCAGGCAACTGAATGTGCTGCACCAGGCCGCCTCATGTTTCAGTCGCTACGATATTCGAGATATCGCGATACATGTATATCTTTGTAATGTACTACTCATAAGGTTGCTGAAAATCCGCCGACAGCCCACGATCGGTTTCGCCCTTTTTGGGGCTCATCAGGTAGGCTCGGTTTGGACGTGGAATAAATCTCTTATCGCAAACCGTCAGCTGTTTGTGGACCGAGTGTGTATGGACGTACCACCTCGTGAAGATCTTAAATACGAACACACTTTCGTTCGTCTAGATACCACAAGTCTTCTACCTGTTAACACTCAGTTCAAACATGTCTACTGCAGCAGGACAAAGATCGTCTACTGTTCTGCACTACTGTAAAACACCGCATGCAGAACTCAGTGAAACTTAGGCTACTAACGTAGCATCATCGTCGATAGCAACACCAGAAGAGAACAAAGGTGATTCACTGCCGTACAAGCATATCAATTTATTTGAATAAAGTCCTGTACTGGAGAGAGGACGGAAGGCGATCCGGATAGAAACTGACAGCATGAACGCCACTGACACAGGTTAGCTGTCATACCGTTCAGTGTTTCCAGTCAAGCACATGGAGGGTCACGTGAGAGCAGTGATCGAAGCGAAACTATATTTCACACTAAACTCAACCGAAAATGTGATAAACGTATCAACCATCACCTGTTCGTGTCCCCGTTTGGAAGCACGCTCGTTCGCCTTAAATTTCGAGAAATCTCACCACCTTGATCACCCGCAGATGAATCTGACTTCCTCCGAAGCCGAAGATGGATTGTAATCCAAGACTGTTGAGCTAACCACCGCTTCATTCGTACGACAAAACTGTCTCTTCACAATGGTTCATATCAACATACTGCGAAAGCTTAGGCAAAATTCAGACGTTATCTTGACACGTCATTGAGAACAGACAAATCACAGTACTGAGATACAGGCTATTCTGCCATCATCATCATCATCATCATCACTGTCAGCTGTAAGCGTACTTGTTGTACAGTGGATGTAGCTGCCACAGTTTCGTCCACCGATGATTCGGGGAGATGGGGTAGGTAGCTGCTCATTGGATGAAGGAGCTGATAAATTGGTGCGTGAATACAGCACTGTCAGATAGAAAAAAGTTCAACGTGGATACTTAACTGGATATCGTTGCCTTTCAGTGCTCGCTTTCCGTCCTCAGATCACTTCAAAACCTCCTCTCCATTCTAGAATTCGAAGACATCAGCTCGCCCTCCTAGACGTTTTGCAGCTAGGTAGGACACTGATGTGTCTGGTTTATTGTAAATCTACCTGAACACGACAATGCCAGAATTTCCACACTTTTTGGTTCAAAACGACAGCAATGCTTACTGGTTCTTAATTTATCCCAGACAGCCCGACAAATTTGCACACATGATGCAATCGATCATGAACTGCAGCTCATAGACGGTCCGAGGAAACACACTTATCCGGAAGGGTTTATATTGCACCACCGTAGAGCTTGTCCCTGAATTGCAGTGAAGAAATACTTGTTTCTTCATCTACTCGGCTATTCATGATGATTCTCGTACCAAATCTGTTTTCAAGCAACAGCGTTGAAATAACTGTCAACTCCTAGTACACTCACCTCGCACTGACTGTCTGAAGCTTCGTAGTCCTATGGGCTCTCCTGTGGCCTTTCTCACATTCTAATTGCCTCGCTTGCCAACAATATTTCCTTCACGTTTATTCCAAATTCGTTGACTATGTACTTCTGTGTCCCAGGACCAGACATATGGGCTTAATTAAACGACCTATTGTTCCGATCACCATTCTGGAAACTGGTGTGGTTGTGCAGTTAGCTCAATAACACATCGAGAGTTAGCTTGACTGATTCAATAAAAAATAGTAATAATACTAATGATCGTTCAGGTGTAACACACCTTCGGCGCCTAGCCACCCGAAAGAAGTACGGAGCCAGACATGCTGCCGGGCTATCCAAGCCTAGGCAAAAACAGCTGAGATGCAGAGGCTGAGTTAGAATCACGGAACTTCCGGTCAGAAAGTTCGCACCTTTAGCAGTAAGAATCACAGTGCAACCGCTAACAGCATGTGAAAACATGTTCACATTCATTCTACTCGGACAATACGACAGTAGAACTATTCATGTTCAGCGTCTCCGCTTTGTTCAACAAGGGGACATGCTTTTCACCAGTATGAATGTACACTCGTTGCGTGACCTGATCACATGCTTCGTTGCTTTGTTCTCCCTAGCTGCCTGGTAAACATTCCTAAGTACTATTCAGCCGTAACGAGAAAATAATTGTCGATCCGTGAGAGACTGTACAGCCACATATAGTTTGGTTTCACTCGTCTCATCCGAGTGTCCTGTGTATACCGCTTTTGCAAAAAAACATTTGAACCTCATCCCGATTGACCTTCCATCGGTCTCTACTGTTTAACTTGTAATTTCACTAGTTTTGAATTAGTTGAAATTACTTTTCACTTAGCAGCTTGCTTTGTTCATTATACCATAGAAAAGATAATTGTTCTGATCCCCAAACGTTTCCCCCATTAACCGAGCGGGAACGAGTTCGTTTTATTTTTGGCAACCACATAACTTCCGTCTATCGTCAACGCGTATGACGCACTCTCCTGCCCATGCATGTTTTCCCTATGCTGCGCGATCGAATTACGTAAGCATAGCTGCTTAATGATCATTTTGGTTCTGTCGTGATTGCGCCTAATTTCCCTGTCGTATGCGAAGCTGGATGTTAGTTACTCTTCGTCATACGCACACAGGCGCATGATTCCATTCAACTTCACCCAAAGTCTCGGAGGAACGGCCGCACTTTGCAATCCCCATGTCCGTTTCTCCCTAATAGCGCGGTCGAGTAAGATCAATACGAGTATCGTGTTACGTGGATGCTGTCTAGGGTTTCAGGTTCAAACGCTAGACTGAGTACAGCTACAACAACTCGAAACCCTCTGTGAGAAGTTCTTGGTTATTTTGGTCAAAATTATTGGTTTTGCTCCCTATTTCAACGCTGGCCGACTCAGTCAACCATGAACCTTGTCTAGAGCTACGGAAAGACAATTAATGCATATGGGTTTTAGACATTTCTTATGGCAGATCTATTTATACTGTGAACGGGTTGCGTGGCCTGACACTTCCATTTGATTGAGCTCAATTAGATGGTGTATGCAATGCAAAAGTAACCGTCCTCACAATAGGGCCGATATCGACGTATCTATTTTTCGGGTGAATCGCGATGTTCGCCTGACTGAGCACGCAAGTTCACAGTTCGCACAGAAATAGCCGATTCGTAGAGGGTCTGACTCCCATCGATTTTCGCCGATTCCGTTACACCAACTCTCGATTTATATCGTTTTCGATGAAGTGGGTAGCACTCGCCCATTTTTGGAACCATCGAGAGGAAATAGCACTGTGAAGACAGGCCTCTCAATCCCTTAACTGGTTGATTCGCTTCCCAAGAGGCAACTTAACTGCTATCCACAGATATAGAAACTGTGTGCGCGCGTCGGAATCCAATGAGCATCATTGGCCCCTATTCCCCTTGAAGTGGCACTCTGAAGCACCCTTCCTCCAAACTGAACACTCCAGTGAAGGAGATCGTTTTGAAGGAACAACAGCGCGTTGCGAACACAAAAGTCGTTGGAAAGAGCTGAGTTGAAGTGCCTGCCATTGTCCGTTACCATTGTATGTGGTAACTGGAAGCAACCGAATAGTTTATTCAGTCTAGCAATGGTAGCTTCAGTAAATATCTTGCATATATAAAGGACAACTATTAATACTTCGTGAAACCGTCTACCATACCAGTTGGTTCAGGCCATCCACTGGACCCATGAAGTCCATGTGTGGCCGTTGTCACGGTACCTCAGGCATAGACCAAACTGAAGGCTGATACGCCAACAATTCTCTCCAACGTCTTGTCCAAAAGTAGTTTATTAGACTATGAGACTGTCTCAGTGATTGGAGCGGCAATTTACTAACCGGAAGTTCTGTGGTTCGAACCTGGGCTCTGCATCTCGACTTCCGATGTCTAGCCTTGGGCAACCTGACAGTATCCCAGCCCTCGTGCTTCCTTCTGGTGGCATGGCAATCACCAAACAACCGATTCACGGTCGATAAAGCATTTCGACGGTTAGCCTACTGACAAGCCATTGGGTTGACATTCTCACTGGGCCAGCCAAGTCGAATGAAATTCATGACTCTCCAGCACACAGCCCCGTTCATTGGCCTCCTGAATAGTGGCCATTGTTAGTGGGAGAGCTTGGACAGCGTTGGTGACAGTGGGCCTGACGTCCAACTCAACATTCACAATCGCGTTCACTGTGACCAACAGCTGCACTATGAGATCCAATGTGTCGCGAATGCGCATCTGCTTTTCCGGAGGAAGTGGCTGTTTATATGCAATCGAAAAGTCGTTTCCTAGATGAATAGTGGCCTTCCGTTGCAATCGGTTAGCGCTGTGTTTGTGACCAGTTTAGATCCAAATGTACTTATAAGGGGCTTGTGATCAGTACTAGGGTGACCCGTCAACCGTAGATAGATTTATGGAACCTCTGTCGTGCGAAGACAAGGTCTAGGGCTTCTTTTCCAAACTGATCATAATTTCGTTCAGCTGGAGTGAGCGAGCAGGCCACATGCGCGGATGCCGTCTCCGGTCCTCAGAAAAAATACTCGACCGATGATGAACTTTGTGGCGCGTCATACCTTGCACGCGTTCTTTTCCGTCTATACGCGTCCAAACAAAAAACTACCTGGTTCTCCGGTAGGAAACTCAGCTCGAATTTACTGTACATCGATTATCTTACAAGCACAGCTGCTACCCTATGCAGGGAGATCACTGAGCTCTTTTTATGTGAAATTGACTTGACCTAACAGCCAATAACCCAGCCTTAGATAGGCACACAGCACCATAGTACGGAACATTTCACATTTGACACACCGACTGAGTGCCCAAGATCAGGAAGGAGCAACACGCAGTTGGTCGTTCTAGGGGAGGGGGCTCAGTTAGGCTGAATCATCCTCGATTATACTTGCTAATTTTTCGTGGAATCGGTGAATGTGATCAAACCTAGACCTTTGGGGCGATCGGTCGCTCTACTTCAGGAAGACCGCTGACATACAGCTTGAAAACTGCCCAGACGACACGCTGGAACATGACAACGGGGCAGTTCACTAAACTGTGAACAGCTATATAGGCTCGAAATTTCTAAACGAGGTCATAACTTTGCGACGCAAATTCGTCTTCCTCCGACTGTCTTATAGGCATGAGGCCTTGAAGCATACCTTCCGATCCCTTCGTATTTAAAGAAATGTGATCTGTCGCCAGTAGTGGAATCTCATTTACCTCTGCGCTTTCCGATCTGTCCCAAAACTAATCACAGCTCAATACAATTCAAATATGAATCGTACCTCCTTGATCTGTAGATTGAGGCTAATCAAGCATGCCACTAAAGACTGTCACTAATGAAAAGGCACCTTTTTCGTAATTCGTTTTCCTCGCTAGGAAGTTCCACCTGTAGTGTGTGTGGGGGCGAGATGGCTCAGTGATTAGATCGCGAATTAACTGACGGGAAGGTCCGTGGTTCGAGTCCGACCTCTGATTCTCGACTTCTGTCTAGGCTTGGCCAACCTGGCAGTATCCCAGCCCTCGTGGCAGTTAGGCACTGAAAGGCTGCTACAGCTGGGCAATTTTTTATATATAGTGTCTATCGCATATGCGGTTATACGTGAACTCAAGAATAAGTGATACTCCGTGTTGAGCTCCCGGTACGGAACTGTGAGTCACGCGTAGTTTTGACGATCCCAGATATCAAATGGATGAATCAGGTTCGACGGGCTACGGTACTATTTTCACACAGGTAAGCTCACGTATACAACTAACCTCAGTTGTCCAGGTTCGTGGCATCAGTAAGTGCCCAAGTCTGGTACAAATTAGCGGCATAGTCCGCATGGAGGATACCGGCGAGCGGGATTTCGGCCCAGGGTTCAGAGTTGTGGTTGCCCCTTCTCAAACCAGTCTCGTTATTCCTGTTGGCGATGTGACCACACGTGCGGTTGGACAGGACAATTAATGGCTCGCTCATCAGTCGGAGCACAAACGGAGGAGTAAGTAGTTGCGGTGACAAGGCAAATTCTAGGATATCCGGTCTCGGACGGAGTTGCCTTTGTGGCAAAACGAATGGCCGGTACGGAAACGGTGACGGAGCGAAGCAGGTCATGGTCAGTAAGTACACAGGGAGAGTAATTAAATGGATGGAGATCTTGTGCTGTCAAATCAAATTCAATACCCCCGAAGCTGTTTTTTTCTTATTAAGACGAGCGATGTACTGCATCACCTCGGTGTGTTCAACTACCTTACTGGAGTAGGCTACTTCATCTGAAACCCGGTATTCTCCACACTGAACGATGCGTTCCGAAGTAGGTTCTTACTTTGCAACACGCATGTTTCGTCATTCTCTCGAAGTTGATATCTACACTTTCACTCGCCCCCTTGCTCACTCCCGTAGCAATTTATCGCGGACTCCACAATTCACTCCATTTGCGATGCCATTCTGCAATCGGGTGTGAACTATGCTCGGGCCCATCGTTCCCCGTGTCCGCTGATGTATGCCTACTATGGTACAGAGTACCTGGGTAAGTTCCATCCGTGTGTTCAGTGTGTTCAATGATTGTGTGAGAGGTCGACAATCACACATGAAGGCATTGTTGAGTCCATTTCCCCAAGTAAATCTGTGTTGCTCCTCATGTGTTGTGTCTATGTTGAAAACTGTTTGAGATAAAGGATTATCATGTACAAACCTGCCATAACCACCAAGCACCAGTTATCGACTTTCGTCGCTCATCTACAATGAAACGTCTTCGTACATGGTTTGAAATGTCTGGGACATTAGTTGGTTCCTCGTACTGGTGGATAATCCTGGTAACTCCATTTCATTCCACGAGGAAGGAACTTTTACTCCACTGGTGCCAAAGTGTCGTCAAATTCTTCTTCAAAGTACGATGTAGGCCAACCGGCGTAACCGGCATATTTGACCGCTTCCAACTCCAACCAAACGGAAAGTCAGTGTAAACATAAATTTTCGTAACCAACATTCTCGCGGCAAGATCTAGTCTTGTTATTCTCCAGTGCACAAGTGATTGGTTGTAAAAACGAACGAAAAGTACAACGTGCGCCAACTGACACTTTTTCTCGTACGGCAACTTAGACCAGGCTTTCACTATGAACCTCACTCATTCAAATCTTTAGTCATGCTTATTCTTGCAAGATGATGTTATGAATACCGATTACACGGAGCCTCTATTTCTTTCCACTCCGCAACCCTTTGCAATGAAATACAGACGCTGGAAACGTCGGTGACATTGTTTAAAACGAAACTCAAAAGAGCCGATGATCTCGGAACTCGTGGTTAAGCTGTCTGTATGAGTTGTGGTCATATCTAACACCTACAACGCTTTCTTTCTGTCCACACGGACCAACTGTCGATTCAAGTAATTGAGACGTGTACTATTTTTGTGCTGGTGTCCGGCAAGGAAATACCTCAACACAAACACAAAAGAATACGAGCAAATAAGTAATCATTCATCTGTAACACTATTTCGGCGCCTAGCCACCATACCACCCGAAGGAAGCTCGAAGGCTGAGATACTTCCAGATTGTCCAACCTAGACAAGAGCGGTCGAGATACCGTGGTTGGGTTTTAAACACAGACCCTCCGGTCAGAGGGCTGGTGTCTTAACCACTGAACAACCTCGTTCATTTCATTTCAGTTCAGTTCAGATTATCAGCTATAAGCCACGTACCGACGCTACGTGGGTTACGGCTGCTACAGTTTCGAATACTGGAGAGTGGGAGGGTGGGAGACATACGGCCAACCCTTGGAGGTGACGGCATGTTGAGTTAGTTCTGGAATCGGCCAGCTACTCATTGATGCGTGAGCGCTATCATTAACCATCCAGTCCCCATCCAGGGAGGCGGCAGTTGGTGACCCGGATGAGTTATCTGGGTAGTGTTTTCATACTTCGTTGCCATGTCACTCACTATCCACCTTTTGGTCGTTCCAATTCAGCACAGTGCTGGGTGGAAAGGGCCCTACGAGACAGACGGTCTTCTGACACACGGAGTGCATATCCTAATCGGACTAAACTACGAAACGTGACCAGTTCATCCATCGTGGGAGAGTTCCCTTTTCCTAAAACCATCTGGCTAATCCGATGTTCCCACTAGACCCGATTACTGCCTCAGAGATGACAATCGTCAAACAACTTTCCTATGTCCTCTGCACACAGAGGCCACGTCTATGACTCATACAATGGTATGGATCGCACCCCTGACAGATAAACTGACGTCACCCCTGTGAGATACATGTGGGAGGTTGGCATAAGTCAAGCTAACCTTCCCGATTCCAGAAGTAATCTCGTTTTCAATCAGTCCATCAGGACTTAAACAACTATCCATGTAGACCAGTTTATTTATCACGTCGCTTGGTTCCTCTGCAGGCACGATGATTAGGTTTGACCTCATCCATTCTTGTATCAGCACTTTGATGGTGTGAAGTGCATACCATATTGTCCGCCTACTCAATACCCAGAAAACATTTCGACCCCTGAAGTTTCGAGCAACAAAAACTACAGCCAACAGCGCTTATGGCTGTTCATTCTTAAGACATTTGCCAAACTGCATCACTACAAATGACGTCACCGGTTATAATAAACGACTGGCACAACGGAAAACAAACTGCAATAATTTGTGAGTTTATTATGTTGTGGAATGTTTCATTGAAAGAACATGCTGAGTGAATATTGATTCCTTGTAACACAAAAATCGCCGAAATTTGCCCGAGAACAGGGTACTTAGATTAAACTCTTGGAACTCTTTCTGTCTGAAGTTGGTACTTGTGTTTGAGTGACTTAGTACAAAATGTAGCTTTACACGTGCATTGTAAGTTTCATCTCAGTTTGTTACATAGTGTGTGTGTGTTACGCCATGCCGTCGTTATATTATGCACTCATCAACTTGACTACACGATACCGGCTATGAAAGCCGGTTTCTCGATTCGCATTTGTCTGATGATCGCGACAAACGCTGGTTTGTTTGCATCTTCATAATCAACTTTGTTTGCTGTTGGTATTGGACAGATCTCAAGGTCTCGACCTTTGGTTGATGGGTAGTATAGCAGCTGCCTGATGTGTTTCGCCCATCGGTTTATCCCCTCACCACGTTTTTTTTTAAAAAAAACTTCCCATTTGCTCCACTCAGCAAGAAATGTTGGAGCAGGAGTTTTTTTGAAGCCATGCGTGTGCATGTCCGATCAGTATGAGATCTAATCTCTCTTGGCCGATCGAGTAGCTTATCGTCGGAGGGCGCGAAAATCAACCGATTTGATGACACGGGCTACCGTAGCCTTGGTTCAAGAAACTGGTACTTCAGATATCCAGTGGTGACGATGTCAGTGCATATAACATAGCTTGTCTGGAACGGCTTGATATATGGAGGTTTTTGAAAGCTGCCCACCGGTCGATTATCTAAATCAGCCGGTCGGCTTAAAGATGAGGAGCGTCCGATTCAGATACCTGAATTCGTCCTGCACCAGAGCTAACTAACGAGGTCTTCAAACTGACCCTTTGATCTGGTCGACTACACATGCAAATACATTGACTGGCGGCATCATGTAGAGTATGAGCATTCTGGCAACCGGTGAATAAATTCTTTCTTACTTCACTTTGCTTCCGGTTCACCCCAACCGCTGGGTCAAAAGAGGATGCGTCGCTCTCCCGGGGACGTAAACAGGATTTCACGCTTTAGGCATTATCATGAAGATTTTTTACGATTTGTGCTCCCGGCGACAGCCGGGTTTCTTTTTAGTCCAAGGTGTACCTCTAGACTTTGCACAACCAAGGGCAACCTCTAAGACAGCAGAAAGCAAGCAGAGAACAAGCGGTCAACAACGTCAGCATAGATGTTGGACTCAGAGAGTATTGTCGTTCATCCAATCCACCGGATATGATGTATGTCCCCTCCGTGATGCTCATATTGAAGTGTTCGGCTATAGGTTTGACACTGCCGAAGCTTCCGGGCTTAATGTCTTCATGGATCGATCTCACGAATATTCCCCGCTCCTCATTTTTCGGATATTTGTGACTTAATATTTACTATCATTCACGAAAGGCAACTTCACTACTGTCCCAGTAACTTTTTCTTCCCATTTGCAATACCGTTATTATTCCCAGTTTCGCTATGGAGACTTAATCGGGACAGTCATCTCGAGTAACCCTGGATGGCCTGCTCATGTCTAATCCACTTTCACTGAAGTTCAACTAATCGCATTTCATGTTCATAGACTTTGGATGTCGCGTGCATCTCGCGACTGCATCTTGAGGTTTGTTAGCGCTTATGACCTTGAAACTGGGTTTGCTGCTCCATTGCTGTATTCGGCGTACCTGGTGAACAACCGGCCGTCTGAATAATCACCAGTGCAGTATTTTCTGGACTGCACGAGAAATACTGCCGTCTCTCATTTCAAACTTACAAACTGTGATCAGAATTCACAATGAGCATTGTTACAACCTTGATCNTTTGGTTGGAAATTAGGATTGCAGTCAAACTGTCTATTGGCCTACTATTTGATGAGGCAAATCGTCGCAAGTGCCACTTTCTCCTTTGCTTGGATGTTGTTGGTACATTTGGTCAACTTAAATGTAGTTTGGTTGGTTTTTAATTGAGATGGCGCAACACCAACATACCGAGACTTGTTATTCGAGTCATCTCGGATAACTTCAGCAGCAGAATAATCGCAATTAGGGGAAGACAAGCGATAGGATGCCAAACACATCTGCCATTACAAAGGCGTTATTTGATTGGACAAGAGGATACGCCCACGTTTGCTGTCCGAGGTCGAAGCCAACGCATCACGCGTCTGCTTGATTTGACCATTGATTGGTCCTGACCAAACAGTCGAAGCACGCGCGTGAAGTGTCGGAGGCTGCACACGACATAGCGCTACATTCATCGAAAATCCTGTTTGGGTGTGGCGCAGCTCTGTGCCCTATTGTGCAAATCACTGCCTGAGTCTCTAGTTTTTGCTTCAGAGACAGCTTTTTTCGAAATTCCATTCATTCCACTCAAGGTTACCCATGAGCTTAGAACGCTGGGCAACCAAACTCGGTATACTAACGTGGTATTCTTTCCTAGGCCAGTTAGGTATTCTTTGTAAGTGAATTAAGTCCGAGTCCGTTTCAGAGATCAAGCAACAGCGATATCTGTGATGGATGTTCTTTGTAGCAAGGTCATCCCTCATCCAAGTTATTTCCAACAGTGTAACGATATTAGGTGTTCCATGAACCAGTCGGTCCCACAAGAAGCATCAGGTCCCGCTTCATTCCGCCCTTCTGATATTAAGAATGCGTTTATTGGACCACAGATAATCGTTTTTTCCGGGTGTCATTTTGGGTATTGGAACTAATTTAAATGCCAGAACTGGCATTAGCAATAGTTGCTTAGATCGTCCACTAATTATCAGTCCTGAGCCACTCGACTGTATGAAGGATGGAAGTATGGTTTTCAAAGATGGTCTTTATCACAAGAGAAATTAGGATATAGCCACGAGTCTGTGACCTGTATCAAAACCAGCTGTAGA